GTGGTGATTAATCATAATAGATTTGTAGAGTGTGGGGTAGGTATTAATTGACAAGTCAGTTCAAGGTTATAAAAGGTGTCAGGTGATGGAGTGGCTAGTACAAATTGGTATGTATTAAACAGGAGAATAGTAAGACTGCAGTGAAAGGGGTTCATAATGAAATGACCAATGTGTGAAATGAAACAGGTGGAGGAAGGCATATATTGAGAAAAGAGATAATATCACTAATAAGTCCGGATAGTGTAGATGGGAAATTCGTTAGTATTGAGAGAATGTTTGCATGAAGGGCATAAATTATGACGAATAATAACAACTGTAATAATATATGTGTAAAACTTGGGCACTGTGGTAGTAAGTAACTCGATATTAGTTTGTTTATTAGATGTATCACACAGTGAAACCGTATTATTTAATGGGTTGTCAGGTTAGGCTTTCCACGTTTTTGTCGTTTTAATGTAAGTGCACATTGTGCCTGTACTTCGTCAGACGTTCTTTTGTCTATCCCACACACTTAGTGCTATTTCTATTTTACGGATGACATCCTCAGGTTTCAGCTTGTCTACCGCTACATTGAAATTTAGTCCCTTTTCTAATACACTTATTTCTGTAGGACTTAATACATGTGTTGAGAGATTGATAACCCACTTTGTTTTATCGATCGCCGTTGACTTTGGATTGTTGACTTCATCATTCTGAGATGAAGATTTCTCCTCTAATAATTTATTAAACATTTTGATTTGAGTATTTTTTGACTTTGCTAGAGGACTGTGTTATCAGATCATAATCCACATTGGTAGCTATTCCCATTAGCTTTTGCTTTAATTGCTCAATTTCACATCTGATATGGCGCAACTTTTTAACTATTCGGTGGATCTCTTCTTTCGGGCATAATTTCCAGTAAATAATACTGTTTCACTGTGTGATACATCTAATAAAAATAATAAACTAATATGGAACTGTAATAATAATAAGCAAAGAAAGAAAGTAAACCAAGAGGGTTAAAGGGGAGGGGAAGAAGCACTCTTGGTGAGAAGAATCATCAATTCAAGTTTGACCATGGTTGGAACAGCGTGTGGACGCGTTCCGCTTAAGTCGATCTTATTGCAAAACCTTCAGCTATGTGTGGCAGACGCAAGAAAACTGTACGTGATAACGACTTCAGAATTCGGTGTATAACCCTGAAAGCTGTGTTGGCGTCGATGCGACGTCCAATATCGGTCAAGTGTGACAGGATGGAGCTTTCTATGCACTTAATTTCCTCCCTGCTGAACCAAGCTGGTAAATGTTGTCGAAGTCGTAGACGAACCTGCCTAATCGTGCGCCCTATATAATTCGAACTACAGGAGCAGTTGAAATGGTATATGCATGAAGAAGAGCTAAGGTTAGGTAAGACATCTTTGAGTTTGCTGGGTGAATATTGGACGGCTACTGAAGGATAGGGACAGACTTGCAGACGCGCACAACTGGCTATCATTATTGCAACGACAATAAATATTATATTTTATAATTGTAAGAGCCTGAAGAGAATGATGTATTGAAAAGAATATTCTTCGTTCAAATTGAATTTACGTGGAATAACAAATTAGTTATGGATGTCAAAATAAATAGTGATATTTGTGTGACAAACGTGTGTAATATGTGATAGGTTGAAATCGAATACAAAATATTTCGGTAAAATGGGAGACAATGATAATGGTGATTAGTCGTCATAGTAGATTCGTAGAGTGTGGGGTGGGAATATTGACAAGTAAGTCAGTTCAAGGTTACTAAAGGTATCAGGTGAGTGAGTGGCTAGTACAAAGTTGTCTGTGTTAAACAGGAGATAGTAAGACTGAAATGAGGGGTTCATAATGAAATAACGAATATGTGAAATGAAACAGGTGGAGGCATATATTGAGAAAAGAGATAATATCACTAATAATAAGAATTCCGGATAGTATAAATGGGAAATTCGATTGTATTGAGAGAATGTTTGAATGAAGGGCATAAATTATGACGAATAATAATAATAACGGTAATTCTCAAGAGCTGGTTTGTGAGGATTAAATTTGTTTTTACGAGTTTGACCACGGATTGATATCAATTAGAGAACAATTGAAAGCCAACACTGGAGTACTGAACAGCTCTGTTTCATCCTAGTTTGGGAATCATTGACAGTAAGCACCCTACAATAGGGGGTGTCTACTTTCTACAGCAGACTAGGTATTATGATGCCAGGCTTCCTTAAGATGTATATTATCACTGTCAATCTCATATACGTCTTTAGTTAGCTATCTCTTTCCTGTATGTAGATTTCATATTCTCATAAAGTTGGAGGTGTAACTGTCTCAGGCGTTGCTGCCTATTTTCCATGCCCATTCAGTCGACAGTATATACATGCACGCACCAATGGGTGACAGGAGTTTACACAGTTGTTCCGGAAGTAGCCGCAATCTTCTACCAACCGTTCGCATTTATTTATGCTCAACGTGAATTTAATGTTGGAGGTCACCAGGGTAGGGGAGGTCTAGTGTCTCTCCTTATCCTTCAAACCATTTGCTAACCAAGAATAGATGGTTATCTGAACAGAATTGTAAAAGATGATCACACCTGTCGGTTTGTCCACATGGCACTCCACTAGGCGCAAGCTTTATACTTCCGTATTTAAACATTGAGATCCCCTGTTAAGATGTTCGCATTATAGCGTTTTACTTTTAGTTAACAAACGAAACAGCTCTTGACAAAGCTCATCATTGGTTCGGGCCGGGTCGTAAGCCGAGATCACGAAAAGAATGAAAAGACTGTTGTCACCTAACAATACTCTACTCTAGAAGTACACATGTGATGACAGAGCTGTCTGTGAGCCAAAATTGTAGACAACAATTTACGTCAATGTTCATGTCCTGAATCAATGTCATGAGAAAAACAATAACAAAGCTTAACCTTGAGAAAATCACTAGCCAATCACAGAGAAGTTAACGTGTGTGGAAATATGATTCGCAGATATATGGCTTAACTTTCTAAGAAACGCGGTCACAAAGGGATGGCAGAATAACCTTCAGAAAGGAAACAACCAATCAGAAGACGATGCTTCTCTGCTAACAATAGCGCTAATAATAATGTACATAAAAATCTATAAATATCTGTTGATTTTCTCAATAAACGATCTGTTTGGCCTGGCCCTTGTCTTCTGTCGTTACACACATGTATTACACAAAATAATCGAGCAAAGAATATTCTTTTCGATAAATTCCTCTTCCAGGCTCTACAATTATATATATATATATATATATATGTTTATATACACAGAGTATTTTAAATTAGTAGTTAATAACAATACTGGCGTTTTTTTTTTAAGTAATATCGATTTTTAAAGTAAGATCACAGTGGAATTACAGTACATTAAAGATGCTTAAATAATAATAATAAAGATATAATAGCAAATAGAATATCAACTAAAATTAAGGAAATTTCTACAAAAAGTTGAGGACAATTCAAACCTAGATGGCCAAGCGGGTAAGGATAATTTCTGAACTACCTTCTTTTGGATGCATAAATAAGGTTTGTTAATATGGATCCCCACAGCCTCAGCAATATTTAGTAGTCGAACTCTTAAAGCAAAATTGAGATTCGTAGGTATGCGGTAAATGACCCTGAAAGCATGATTAACGTCAATCTGTGGTGAGAGCTGTCTACTAGCCGAATCGGTAGACAGTAATTCACGTCAATGTTCACATTCTCAAGATTTGTCGTGAGAAAATATGAACAAAGACTGATTCAAAACCGACCACAGAAGACTTTGCGTAGGCGGATACAGTTAACATATAGATGATCTGACATTCAAGAAACAGTCACAAAGAGATGACTGTGCTTGTTTGCTTAACTAAACTATAATAATGTACATGAAGATCTATTAAATATGTGTTGATTTCCTAAATAAATGATCTGTTGCCTGGCCCTTGTCTTCTGTTGTTACAAGTCTTGTGTTTTGTCTCCACAAGATGAGATAGAATAGCGCTGCGAATAGATTTTGTTTGTCCTTTGCTTAACCAGGTAGGGTGGTGTTCAGAAATTCGACACGAAACACGCCTAATTGTACGGCCTATGTAACTGGCTCACTCCACAGGAGCAGTGAAATTGGTATATACACATGGAAGAGGCAAAATTAGACAGTTAGTCTTTTATTCCCGAACGAAGAAGAGGAGTGGTTTTAAAGATACAGCGTAATTCAACAGCAGGGAATGCTCTTTTTACCGCCTCATTTCTAAGGCGCTGTGTTAGTGTATCTCACTGGTGTTGTCTCCTAGGAACTGCATCTATAGGAATAGGGCCTTTTTTGGAACTGTTGGTAACTTGGGCTGTTTTGGTTTCAGATTCATATTCTTATCAATAAACTTTTCAGGATAACCATTCTCACTTAGCAACCATTTAACATTGTTAAGTTCCTCGTCAAGACATTAGTCCGAGCAAATCTCTTTTGCTCTGTGGACCAAGCATTATTTTATTAGATTGCGTTTGTATTTCAAGGGCACGAAGCTGAGAAAATGTGTGTACTGACCCGTTGATGTAGGTTTTCTATAAACACTTCTTCTTATTGTGCCATCCTCTTTTCTGGTCATAAGGACGTCTAAAAATGAAATACTAGAGTCTTTTTAATGAATTTTCGATACAGAAGTATCAACATTTGAATTGAATCATATGCTCTTAATGTGGTGAGAGCTGTCTACTAGCCAAATTGGTAGACAGTAATTTACGTCAATATTTACGTTCTCAAGATTTGTTGTGAGAAACAACCAATCGGAAGACTGTGTTTGTTTGCTTAAATATCCATAGTAATGTACATGAAGTCGTGAGAAACAACCAATCGGAAGACTGTGTTTGTTTGTTTACATATCCATAGTAATGTACATGAAAACATATATAAATATGCGTTGATTTCCTTAATAAATGATCTGTTGCCTGACTCTTGCCTTTTGTCGTTACATTAATACGCGTTCAGGAAAAAAATAGTGTTAACTTACAAGGAAAATTGGTGAAACTATTCCTTGAGTACTTGAATTGACCTCGTGTGCATCTGTTGTTATACCATTGTGTCCATTGTTAGTATTCACAGCAGGAGCAGTGGTATTAGCATTAGTATTAGTATGAGTATTATTGGTAATGGTCACTGAAGGAGTTGTCAATGTATCACGGAATATAACATCTGATAGTATAACATGCAAATTGGCTAATTCACAACTTTCATCAATTGTATCTTTAATGTTATTCTGTGATGTTGCCTTCGCTGTTGTTGTTGAGGTTGTAGTTAGGGTGGATCTCATTTGATCGGCGTTTGTAGTTGACAGAGAGTCAGACACAGCATTACTGATACCAGTAGTAGCTTCAATATTAGTATCAGAGCCGTGAACAATATTCACCTTATCGATAGTGTGATCATTATTTAACGAAGTTGATATTGATCGAATGAATGAACGCATGGAAGACAATTGAGAGGTGACATAACCGTTTAAAAATCTCATATATGGTTCCTGAGAAAACAAAACAAAACAAAAAAGAAATGTTAGAGAAAGAAAAGATTTTCAACATTTTTTGTTTTTGAATACTTTAAAGGAGATATGTAAACATCTCGAGAAATCAAGGTAATCAGAAGAAATGAACACCGTAGAGTCACCTCTGTTCGACCATCGAGAAATAAATCTAGTTGTGAACTAGAAAAGCTTGAAAATCATCAGTCATAGCTTGTCTACACGCTATAGAATCAGACCACAATATTGATCCTGACAATATTGAAATCATCATCCAGAAAAAGCTTCAAATGAACTGTCATCAAGATTTGAAAGAGTACTTCTAAAATTTTTGGGCATCGAGTGAGAAGTAGACATTTGTAAAATTTCAGCGAGATTGAAATGAGTAATTCCAACGTTTCCTACATTCGGCAATCTGGTCCGAACTTCTTCAGGGAAATTAATCGAAATTTATATAACACAGGTTTATGTATAAAAGGAACATCTCATGTTTTTAAAAACTTTGTTCAATCATGAGTCATAAAACAAGTATCAACATGTATAATAAACCAAAATTTTATGAACTGTGATCAAAATTTGACCTCGGACTTACAAATATTGGTCTACCTTTGTTAAACACTTTAAACAGAGTGTCTATGTGTGTGTGGGGGGGGGGGGGTAAACAGTTGTAAAACACTTGTTAATGCCTCCATAGGAAGATATAGACAATCGGGAGTTTTGACCAAGTATTAATAATTAGTGATACATATCCATTTTTTTATTTATTAATAAGGATTTCCTATGTATCAGCTAACAAGACCACACCTTCACATCTGTTCAAACTGTTAGTATCTAGAATTTTATGATTAGACGTATTTTCAAAATTATGGTGTTTAGGATTAGCGTTTAGTAGGAGCACCCTGTCGAACTTATTGCTTTGTCTTCTTTTTGAAGATTGAGCTGAATTATTCGACCTACTGGAGAGTTGTCAGGTGACTCGACAGCTACGGATTTAGGATATGCATTATTCTGTTGCAGACAACGGAGAGTGAAAACACGATGATTGTGCCAATTAGCGTAGTTTCTTTGTTAATTTAATTCGATTGCAAAATAATTCATCAAATGAACTGTCGACAAGACTTGACAGAATAGTTCTAAAATATAATTGGGCGCCGAGTGAGAAGTAGACATTTGTAAAATATCAGCGAGATTGAAATGAGTAACTCCAACGTTCCTTTTTTATATAAACCTCTGTTATACTAATTCAGATTAATTTCCCAGAAGAAGTTTGGACCAGATTTTCGAAGTCAAAAAGTGCGTCTAATATCATCAGAAGCACTTCATATCAAGTGGAATCAAAATTGTTTGAATAGGAATGATGGACCTGGTTACAACACCTCCCTCTCCCATGAAGTAACAAAATCAACACGAATGTGATAAGCAATTTCATTATGTAAACACACACGCTGTTTTTACAATTTTACACCCTTATCGAATCCAACAATCTACACACCTGGCTTTGTTATCTTTACCAACTGGCCAATTTGACAACGCAAAAATGACGCCACGCTGAGTAACGACCATTAAGTTTTTTATATATAAGCTGAGTGGATTTTGTAAATTCTGTATTAATAACACTGCGTTGATAAAGCTACTAGCAGCATTAATGAATAGCGAAACGTCAGTAAAAACAACAATATCGTTTTGTTTATCATTCATTGGGAAATACAAAAACCTTTATTATAATGAATATCATATACCAAATTTTTTTCAAACTGTTTAAAGTGAACTTGGCTTAGACATATATGAGATATGCAAGATTCCATCAACATGTTCGTAAAATGATTATTATTACTACTATTCGGTCAGCCATCAAACGCACATTCTACACCGCATCTCTTTTCCTCACATGTCGAACATTTTGGATCCCTACCTACGTACCTACGATTAAAGGACGAAATTCTGCTGTGCACCTGCAGTTGCGGTGACACATACTATATAGGTAGAACCAATAGAATTAGAATTTAATTGGTGGATAGTGACTAGCAGTGGAATCCAGGATAACGCACATTTCGTTCTCTTTGGGACTCGTCATTTGGAAAGATGTACCTGCATTCTTCAGTCAGTGAGTGATGATGTTCCCACCATCGAGGCTCGAACCCAGTGCCCATACTTTCAAACGCCAAAGCATTATCCACTAGACCACTCGGGCCACGAGAGCCACCTCTTGCTCTTGTGCGACGGGGCATATTAATTATTTAATTCAATTTTAGATCTTCTCATGGATTGACTGTACCGAAGTGCTCGGTCTCAGGTTGACATGTCTGTCGGCTTCTTGTGCAGATGCTTCAACGATGTATGGGCACGTAATTCGAATTTAATTGCTGGATTGTGACTAGCAGTGGAATCCAGGATAACGTGCATTTCATCCTAAAATTCAATTTAATAATTATTATGACCCGCTGCACAAGAGGCAGTGGCTCTCGTGGTCCAAGTGGTCTAGTGGATAACGCTTTGGCTTGCCTTACTGTATGCTTACGTCTTTATTAATGGCGACATGCATGTCAAACATGCACAGAATAATGACATCATCAACAATAGGGAATCTAAATCATCAGTAGTAATTCCATACAAGAAAAGAACCTCGGAAACCTCACAGCGGAGAATTCCTAACAAGTCAAGAATAAAAGTGGCCGGCATTCGAACCCACAAACTCAATTAGAAACAGGCTTTGTCGGTTAAATGGTGGATCCTGTGGAGCCTTTAAAACAAAACAATTTACCTTACCTAATACCCTGCCTGCAATGATTGTCAGGTCAAACTAGTAGAACAGGGGCAGTCAGTCAGACTAGCAGAGCACAAAACCCAGTAGCAAAATCCAGATTAGTTGACCCGAATAAGATCAGAAATCTAGAGAATAGTTCAGTTATAGAACACACTACATGCAATCACTCACAACCATACAATAGGATGGATGGGATAAGATGACAGTTTCAAAATCTAATATAACTAACATGTTGGAGGGAGAGATTGATAACAGAAGCTTTGTTTATCGAATCAACTGAGACTGGATACGTGTAATAGGAATGATTCTACATCTGTCGATCCAGACATTTGGAAAATTCTACTATCCCAACGACGACAAATAGGAGAGGACAAAAAAAGCTATAAAAGTCAAGTTTCGAAGTCGTGTGTGATTATAATTGATGAAATGATTATGAACAATGAATAAATTTTGTTCGGAACTTTGTCATCCAGTAAATAATACTGTTTCAATGACTGTGTGATACATCTAGTAAACAAACTAATATGGAATTAGTTCAAGATGATTTTCCACAACTAATGCAATGCTAGGGATAAAGTTCACTTTAGATCAATTGACAACCTTAACGGGAGGGGATTAATTGAGTCAGCCTGAGAAAAGTTAGTCATTAATAATAATAAAACTGGCCAGAGCTTGGATTACATTATAAATTAGCGGGTGGTGAAAAATAAAAGCCGGTGTATTGAAAAAAATATGTCTTAATGTTAGTTAATTAGTTTATTATATGCTCGATGTGTCTATCATGTATACACACTGATAGGTTGATAGGAAGCGACTAAAACAGGAATTAGAATTTGTTGAGATAGAATGACCAGTGTTGACAAAGTGTTCAACTATCGCACTCGTTATAGAGTGACTTCTTTCTTTTTGCAGCCATGTGAGATAGTTTTCTAGAACCCTTTGTGGACAGGAGACGTGTCGTAACACAAATGTAACTGGCTCAACACGGGGAACAGGCGAACTGATATATATACGATTGTACTGCTCTTGAAAATGATTCGGCATCACGTCTTCTTTTGTTAATGACTCAATACAGGAATGTCCCGTTTAAATAACGTGACACTAAGATTATGATTACAAAATGTAGGTACAAATCTAAATTGAGGTAAGAAAGATTTGAGGAGGAGGAGGAGGAGGAGGAGGAGGAGGAGGAGGGAGGAGGAGGAGGAGGAGGAGGAGGAGGAGGAGGAGGAGGAGGAGGAGGAGGAGGAGGAGGAGGAGGAGGAGGAGGAGGAGGAGAATGATGCTCAGGAGGGCTTCATGTACTTTTGGAGGTTGAGAGGTTGTCACTTCCCAGCTGCCCACAATGTGGGAGTTGGTTGAATCTTCCGGTACCTGAAACAGAAAGCAAATTAGTGTTGCATGGCCGCAGAGTCCAGGAGAAAACTGTTTGAGGCCAGCCGGTCACACACGCCTGTATGAACTGGTTTCTTGGTTTGGTTCCATATTAGTAAATTTACTACAGGTTACGGACCACCGTAGGGTAAGTCGGGATGCACAATTTTTGGCGTCGACCTTTTCTAACCCCGTCTCTCTCTCTGCAGAGTGGAGAGACAGCATAGCTGGCCGACATGCTGATCATCTCATAGAAACACCTCACTGCTGTTACATCTCTGTTCCCCAGCAGTACAACTTCGCCTACAGGGCCCCAGCATAGTGTAAAAAAAATCCTACACTACTCCAGTAACTGCTTTTAGTCTAATCTCGTTATCTTAACAACCTTCCTGGCATGGTAGTGTAAAGAAGAAAGACTGTACCGTTTAAAGATTTTTGCCTTCGTTTCGGGCAGTTTCTCTGCTAGTGACCGGTTCCTCCGCAAGCAAAACATCTGTTGTTTGTTCTTTTCCTTATCTGCATAGCCACCACCTGCTGTTTCAACTCTTCAATCTTCTTGGAATCTTGGCACTCCGAATTCACTGGAGCAACATGCGAAGTCATTATCTGCCTTGTCACCTTGGCCATTTCATAAACATCCATTGGTTGAGCTGCGTTAACTAGCTGCAACTGATGAGCAATATTTGTCGGGACGCATTTGAGGAACTGAGATGCAAGTAACTGCTCCCGTGAATCTTCGTCCAGGGTGAGTAACGCGCGTTACAGGTGATTCGTCAGCGTTACTGCGAGAACCAACGGATCCCCATCCTAGCCAAGTCTCAGCGTCCGAAACTTCTACAGCGCCTCTTGTCTGTCCGCAGGGCTGTCGAACTCGCACACGAGCCTCTCGACGACCTTGTCCCACGCCGCCTCACCTTCCAGCTCCCGAGCGTTGTCGTACGCAGCCTTCGCGCGGCCCCTCAGCAGAGTTCCCAAGACAACCAGCTTCGCCTTCTGCTCCTGCACTCCAACCAGCTCCGCGACAGCCTCGAAATCCCTGAGGAACGTCCGCACGTCTCTCTCCTCGAACACCTGCGGCCACGGCACCTTCATCTCCAGCAGAAGCAGCGACACCAAATGTAAAGGAGAAAAAACCGAGGAGGCTGAAAAGAAAGCTTACTTGATGAAACATATTGTACATAGGTAAATTTGGTATATAATATTTTCAAACTGCCATTTGCACATCATTTACCACATCCTTGAAGAATTGGTCGAATGTCGTCACATTCGATAGCTTCTTGGATTCTGCATCATATGGCAACATTCTTCTCATGGTTCTCTTCTTTGATTGCTCTTTCCAGTATGCAAAACATATTGTTACTTTTCTGAATTCGTTTCTGATATACTACTTATATTGGATTATAAGTAGCACTCACCACAGTAGGACCTGCAGGAACAATAGTTCCGGCGGTGTAGACTGTTGTATCATTGAGATATGCAAGCCCGACCAACACGCCAAAGTAGCAGCTATCGGTCGCGCAAGATAAGATACAAACCTGAATACAAACAGTCAATAAAATTGCACTCAAACCTGAAACTAAATCTTCAGTACTATCATTGTTATTATTATAATTACCAACAGAGTTATAGAAAACTGACTGAAATGCTTACTTTATCATCGAAAGTACTAAAATTAGCCAATGTCTGTAATGATTTCGCCAACAACGTGAGATTACGCTGACAAGCTGGTTCACTAGGAAATGCACTAATCAATCCAAATAATGATGGTGATAGGAGTGCTGGACATATTAAGCGTAGAAATATACAACTAGAGATTAAATTATCACAGAATTCTGATCCACGGGATTTCTCCAAAACTCTACGAAATGAACTGAACAAGTCAATGAGTACACTACAAAAAAGAAGAAACAAAAAAAAACAAAAAATGAAATTCAAGGAAATGAATAACCTTCAGGGTAAAAACATGCATTGCAGAGAGTTCAGATATGCTGTATACAGATTACAGTTTAGATCACTGGCTGGCTGGCTGGCTGGATTCAACATAGAAATTGGCACTGAAGTGCAGCACTTCGAGTTGCCACCTTCCAAATACCACACAAAGGTAGACAAGGAGAAGATGAGTGAAGAGAATCAATAGAGTTTTGACAAGTATAAGAGTGAAACAGAATGAATGAGTAATGGTAGAAAGGAATATGAAAGATTACACAAGAGACTGAATACATCTCCGTAAGCCATTGACAACGATTTTCAGCCATGTCATGTCACCTATTGTCTCCAGCCATTGATTCTTAGAGCCTCGAGGGCCCCAACCAATCAGGAAGTCTGCATCTCCCTCTCTACCTGACTCAGTTTAACTGTCAAGGATTTCATGGATTGATGAGGCCATGTTTTTGTTTGGCATGGCACCCACTTACTCTTTTCCAACCCACAACACCTATATCAGCTAGTAATGCCCTTCTGTCGGGGGAGGCGATTGCTAGGCATGCGCACCACGTCACCTAGCCATCTCAATCTATGTAACTTTATAGCCTCTTCGATTGATTTTCCCTCTTTGCCCAACTAACACTCTACGCCTAACGTCAACATTACTTACCTTATTATACCATCTAACGCGAGAAAGAGATCGTAGATACCTATGATCAAAAACACTCAACCTTTTCATGTCTTCAACTCGTATTGGCCATGTTTCAGAGCCAGCCATAGAGAAGGACGGAGCGAACTGCTGAGCAGTACACACGTCCCTTGTTTGATAGCCGGATGTCACGCCTACGCCAGAGACGGTGTAAGTTAGCAAAAGCAGCCCGAGCTTTTTGGATCCGTGCTGATATTTCGTCACCAATCAATCTGTTGATGCTGATACAACTTCCCAAATAGGTGAAGTGGTCAACATGTTCTATCACTTCACTCCCTATCACTAAGCTAGGAGTTGACGAGTTTAGATCACGGACTGACCTCAGTCAGAAAATCAATGAAATCTACTAGGAAGTGCTGGATAGCTGTTTCTTCCTGGCTTCAAACTCTTCAGCATCTTCAGCAACATGATCCCATCGCTAAGGAATCGACGCCAAATCTGCTGAACATTCATTTATTGGGATGGAATTCAATGGTCCATTAAACTCTAACTTGTGTCACTTTACGAGATATAACGCCATCCATCGCTAGCCAATGTCTTTGGACCCCGCTGGTCATGACTTCTCACTATAACTGAAGACAACTTTACTGCTTAGTTAGTTAATAGGGCACATTAGATTGATTTAAAAATGCATGCACTACCCGGAAGATACTCAAATGATGAATCGATCATAAAGTTTCAGTCACATTTGAAGTATCACTAGAGATGATGTTGTTTTCTAACGTGGGTGGGGTCTGCTAATCTCACACCCAATCTTTTCGTCTGTCCCGCCTTAATAATAATAATAATAATAATAATAATAATAATAGTAATAATCTACTTTATTCCAAAACAGACAGTACTTATAATACAGAATGGAATTCTCAGCATTTGTCACAATATTGCATCTGATTTACTCAAAATATAAATAAAATTAAAAATTAAAACAAAATTAACCAGAGGAATTTGTCCACATTTACGGTAGGCATAAAGTCACAAATATTCGAAGCACGAATTGAGAATATTGTATATTCAGTTTGGAAATTTTAGCATGTTATAGATTATTGAATCTAATGTTCTTTTGGTATAGCATGGTGAGGGGAAATACAAAATTAACAGTTATAACACAGCTTAAATGATGTTCACACTTTCATCACATAGAGTACGTGCTAAAAATGGTATAGTGGAATTTTTATACTAAGATGTCAGGGCATAAAGTTTTCTGAAAAGACTTCTTGTTTTACCTGAGGAGACACAAGGTTGGAGCTGCGGGTGCTGTGGTGGATGCTCACAGTTTGACAAAATTCCTTTAGCAAATTTGTTGCATGACATCAAGTGCCTATCAATGACGATGTCAACGATATGGCCCAATGGGATACCACTCGCCCTACTGACAGTCAGTCTTCAGAGTTCTTCGAAGTATGACATAGTCTTTTTCAGCAAGCCAGTAAAGAATAAGGGTGAACAGTAAAGAAGAATAGGTAAAATACACGAGTTGATAAACTGTAAGATCAGGAGGGGTTGAGTTATGCCTGAGTGCCTTAACTTCTTCATGTAACTTGTCAGATGAAATATTCTTTTAGAAATCGCTAAGACATGGAAAGACCGGGATAGGTCAGACGAAAGAATTAATCCAAGGTACTTAACTTCAGACTTGATTTCTATATCACTGTCATCAATTTTGCAAGGGTCGTAGGAACCAACGGCTTCATTTAACTTTCGTTTACATCGGAAACTGAAATTAACAGTCTGACATTTGGAAGGATTTAGTTTAAGGCCGTCAGACGAAGACCATTTGCTAACTCCTGATAGAAAGCTGTTCATCTTTGTACATTGTAGCTGGCAGTCAACATACATTGAAATAGTTAGATCGTTGGCATACTTAACAAAGTTCATTTCGTCATCAGAGTGAGGCAAGTCATGCAAGAAGAAAGAAAACAGAAAAGGAGAAAGGATAGCGCTTTGAGGGACACCAGCCTCAGTAAGCAACGAAGTGGATGACTGCCCCCTCCTGACATACAGTGTACTGCTTTCTTCCTGAGAAATAAGAATGCAGTCATTTGACAACCAAATATTCAGTTTCAGTTTCAGCAAGCTTGTTTAACAAAATGTCCCTAGGTACTGAGTCGAAAGCAGATGTTTAATCTATGAAGGTGCAGCGAACAAATTTGACCCCCTTGACTAAACTGGAGAGGATATTATGATGCAAGACTGCAGCTGCATCTAAAGTACTTCTACCGTGTTTATAGGGAAATTGTTTGGGATCGTTAAAGACTTTAAGTGAAGGTTGAAGATTAAGTAAGAGTAACTTTTCCATAGTTTTTAGAAAAGGCGAGATAATAGCAATAGGTCTAAATTTAAAACATGTTCCAGTAGACGACTTAGGTATAGGTACAATTTTAATGTCCTTCCAAACAGCTGGCACAACATTTCTGGAAAAAGATTCATTAAACATGTCCATGAGAGGATAACACAGGATATCTGCACACTTTTTAAGAATAAAACTAGGCAAACCATCTGGACCTAGACTACAAGAAGGGTTCAGAGACTGGAGACATTTTAGAACATCATTTGTATTGAAACCAGGGAAGCGGGTTTCATTAACACTTGTAACACTAGAAAGTTTGGCATTTGTGGGAGAATGTATGAAAGACTTGTTTAGTGTGCAAACATCAAAGGAATAAGGAATACTATTCATCTGCTTACCACCAGCAATTTCTTTAAAATTTTTTCATATATTAGACGCATTTTTACAGGATATAAACTTTTGGTTGTAAATTGAATTCAATCTGTGCATTTCAGACTTTATTAGGATGTTAATTCTTTTCAAACCATTATTATCCTTCATTTTATATAGCTATTCTTTTGGCCTGCGAAGCGTTTTAAGTTGAGGGGGGTGGGTGAAAAGGTCAAATCTAATGAAGAGCGTTTCTCTGGGACAACAGGTGTCAAGACAAAATTTGAGGTAACTTGTAATATTAGAGATTGTGTCATCAAGAGAGTCTTCATTAAACAAGTCCCACCTTGTGTCTTTGAGCATGCCCCTAAGATTCTGAACATTCTCCTTAGAGTAACATCCATGTACAGTTTTCTTGGAAAGGTGTGAAAAAGTTCTCTTGTGTAACTTTCCATAAATTTTGGGTAAAACCCGTACAATACAATGATCTGAGTTAAACAGTGGGGCCGTTCTTACGAGCTTCCAAGTAATCAGATGCAATATAAGTGACGGAAAATTTTAGTAGCTTAAGGGTTAAGCAGGCCGACGTATACTAGGCGAGACTGTGGAGTGTGTCAACAGGAAATCAAGTCCATGCATGAGAAGTATCTTACTACTGAACCCACACCAATGCGCATACATAATAATAATAATTTGCTTTATTCCAAAACAGTACTTGTGATACAGAATGGAATTCTCAGCATTTTTACTACAGTATGGCATCCAGTTAGTACATTATCAATAAACAAAATTCTACATAGATTAAGGAAATCTCAGTTCATTATGACAACAACATATTGGAATGTCGATAACAAAGCCAAATTTGAACAGTGTTTGAAGGTGTTAGAAAAGTAGGTGCTGTCATATTTACTGGCGTAAGCGAAAGAAAGAAACAAAGCAGCACATAACAGAAAAGAGCGAGAGAGAGAAAAGGAAAAGAAAGAAGAAAACGTTGTACCTATAAATGATATGGGCTGGAAAGACGAGATCCAGTTGTTCTACTGACTATTTAATAAGTTATAAGTTTCACACCTAATGCTTTCTTTATCGCACAGAACACGAGCTAAGTAGGGTATGGTTGAGTTTTTGTACTTGCTGGTGCGAGCATATAGTTTTCTATATAGGCTTCTGGTCCTGCCTGATGAGATACAAGGAGAGAGTTGTGAATTAAGAGGGTGGTGTGAGTTAGATAGAATGGATTTAGCCCATTTTTCACATGAGTCCATGCCTGCCTGTCGACCAGAATATTAACAAGCTGGTTAAGTGGCACGTTGCTTACCCTGCTGACAACCTTTAACATCCTGCGTAATAAGTAAGGTATAGTCTTTCTTCAGTAGCCCGGGAAAAACTAAGGGGGGGCGGGGGGACAGTAGAGAATAATAGGCAGAATGCGAGAGTTAACGAATCGTAAGAGTAAGGGCTGGGTTGGGTTATTCCAGAATGTCTTAACTTCTTCTTGTAGAAGGTAAGACGTTATATTTTCTTAGAAATCGTCAAGATATGAGACGACCAGGAAAGATGAGCAGATAGAATGACGCCTAGGTATTTAATTTCCGACTTGGTT